TTGTGGTGCAGATCAATCTTCCCGCAGGCCAAACGTCCAGAAACATGCCAAGGCCATGCTTGATGCCATTCGCAATATGGACGAAGACGATATCCCTGGGATAGAGACGTTCAATCTGGAACGCATTTTGTCCCTTCTAGCTAATGTGAGATGTAAAGAAGATAAATTTCAAGTTTTATTCCGCCTACATATCTGACGTGATTTGTATTTGCAGGCTCAGTTGCGGGTAGACGGTTGATGAGTGTCATTTATGGCACTCATAGGGTAGTCTTTTAGGATGATTTCATCTTCCTTTTAATGCTTTCTTATCTTATTTTTGGTCCTTTTTCCTTTAATCCCTTTCTTTCTTTCTTTCCTTGTGTTTTTCGTGTTTTCTTCGTGTTTTCCTTTTATTTGGTTCTTTTTCCCTTTTATTCCTTTTCGTTGTTTGTTTTTGTAGGTATCTAGGATTTGTCTTTGCAAGGGAATCAAGTTGGGCTATAATGACTAAGCAAGGAGGAAATAATTGGCTTGGAGAGGGCTTAGAGGGGGCATGGAGAGGGCATCAAGCCCTGCCAGTCTGCCGCGGGCGCGGGTATAAAGGCCGCGGGCGCGGGCTCATTTGCACAAAAGTGGCAGATTTCGACCAGGAACTCTCCGCGGTCTGGTCGCGGGCTTGCCGCGAGTGTGGGAAGATTGGAGAGCCCGCTTGTACCAGAGAGACCGCGGCCCTCTGATCATCATTTGGGAGCAGGGGATTCGTCACGCTTATGTCGCGGGCGCGAGTGCTTTTGCCGCGGGCACAGGCTACAAGACCAACGGGCGCGGGTGTTGCCCAGGAAGCCCGCAGAATTTTTAATGGCTTCCGTACCCATTTTTCCGCGCGCGCGGGGTTTATTGGAGAGGGCGCGGGAATCCCGTTTTTCTTATTTTCCCTATAAATACACTTGTAATTCCTTTTTGAACTTAACTTTTAGATAGTTTTCATTAGCTTAATTCTACAGAAAGAAATTAGAGAGAAGTTAGAGAGAAGTTCTTGGATTTGGATTTGTATTTCAACATTGGATCATTTGTGCTTGGATTTCTTCATTTTCAATCATTAATGTTAGTAAGATTTTCTTCTTCTAGTTCATCTCTTACTTGATTGATTTAGTTTCATCTTTGATTGTTAGTATTGCTTGGATTTGAATTGGATATTGTAGTTGATATTGCTTTCTCTTGATTTTGATTTAGAATGATGATCAATGCTAAGTCTAGTGATTTGTTCTTGAGTTACACCATGATTAGTGAGTAGATTAGTTGCTAGGGAGAAGGGAAAGCATGCTTGATTGATAATTTGTGCTAGTTGATGATCTTTGATTGATTGAATTGATGTTGCAATTAAATTGGTTGAAATAGTTTTGCATGTGATTAATTAGATTAGGAATGATCAACCTATAAGATTAATCTAGATTGCATTGCATTTCTTAATGACATGATCCATCAATTTGAGAATTGGTTTAATTGATTGAGTTTAATTGTGAATATCCTTGATTAGCCACTCATAGTGACCCCTAGTTTGGCCTCTAGGAGATAGCTCTTGAACTCTCTTGATTGCTACTATTGTTTGTCCTTTGCAATGCTTGAATCAAACGAAGAAATTGTCGATTAGCACGATTATTGAATTAGCATGTGGAACCAATATCCCTAGAATTTAGCTTATTGAATTACTTGATTAGTCTAGTTTTGCTATCATAACACCAACCATTTTCTCACTTCAATCTCCGAAGTAGCTTGATTTAGGCTAAAGAGAAAACCAACTAATTCCTTTGGGTTCGACCCTATACTTACCTATACTCGTTTTAGGTTGGTTTAGGATTTTATAAATAGTGTTTGATTTTGGGATAAGCAATTAACGACTAGTTTATTCCTCTATCAAAATGGCGCCGTTGCCTCGGGTTTGATTTTATAATTTATACTTACCTATACTAGTTTAGGATTTTATAAATAGTGTTTTATTTTATAATTTATAAAATCCTAAACTACCTATAAATAGTGTTTTATTTTATAATTTATAAAATCCTAAACTATTTATAAACACTATTTATCAACGGTTTCAAACGTCCTTACTCCCGCAAGCGGGAAGAGGTAAAGAGAGCCAATAAGTCAGCCAGAGACGCTGACAACGTTGCTCTATAATCCTGTACCATAAATGAACTTGAGACTAAAGCCACGATAATGACGCAGGCGGCGAGGATTGAGCAGCTTGAGACGACTTAGGGGTAGCCAAGCAGAAGGCCTGTGAAGCTGAGACAACGCTCAAAAAAGCTCAAGAGGAACTTGGCAAGGCTCAGGCGGAGCTGGACAAACTCAAGGGTGTTTCCCAAGAGAACACCGATCTCAAGGCCAAGGTGAAAGAGCTGGAGGACGCGGCTGCTTTGGCGCAGCTGAACTTTGCGGAGACATTGCAGGCGGAACAAGAGCACCTGGTTGCCGAAAGTGAGGCTGATAATGACGCCCGGATGAGGATCGCTTGGAACGTCTTGTACCCAAAGAAGGAGTACGGCGTCTGGGTACTGGCTCACAAGTATGCCGAGGAGGTTGTATACTTGAGAGAGAACGGCGAGCTAGAGCCGGGGTCCTTTGAAGTTTGGACCAATATTGAGCTGCCAGAGCCTAAGCATCCCGTCCAAGGTCAAGCGCATGAAATTCCTTCCGAAGAAGAAGATGAAAAGAACAATGACCAGGAGGACCCGTATATGGCTCAACAATGATTTTTTGTGGTAGTATGCCATTTTAAATTTTTTTCTTGTTCAGCAGGTCGAATCGACTTTCTTTTCGGCCTGCGTACTGAGTATTTGTTGTTTTTACCGGCTGGGGAGCCGGGTTAATTGACAATTTGCTTCACTTCCCGGACGGGGTCCGGTTTACAATACTCTACCACAACCATTTGGTTGGGTAGATTTTAATGAATGTGCCGACTGAGTCGGTTTTGATCATTTTATCATTTTGCGTTTGAATTTTACATTTTTAGTTTTGCATGTATACTTGATATTTTTGCCTATCTTGAAAAGCATGCGGCAATTGCTAATCCGGTTTTTCTTGCCCCTGGGCGGCTGTGTGGTTGGTTTCATCTTTAAGTCGATTGATTGGCTTGGGAACGTCTGATGCTTTAAAGAGCCTGATATGTTTGCAAGCCAATCAATCATAGTAGTGATTGCCCCAAACCAAGTACACAGCCGTCCAAACGACAGGCGTTCCAGCCTTCCAACCAAACGGAAAAAGACCGTCTGAGAAGATTGTAAGAGGCGAATAGCCGCCTGTCTCTTCATAGGACAAGAGGCAGGTGGCCGCCTGGGGTGTTTATAATCCAATTACACTTTCAATGTCCTGTTACCCCATTGGGAGGACTTATATAATTTTTAAAGGGAACCTAGACTAGAACTTCAGTTTGTCACCGGCTGATGCCTTTTAGACATTCGGTTCTTAAAGACTTGGTCGTTCTCTAGATAACCCCAATCAGGCGGCTATGAGTTAACTAATGAGGTCGTTCAATTTTTGCCGCTTGCATGCTTTCGCAGGGCAAACAACCATCCGGCTATTGACCTCATCACTTTTTCAAGACGGTTGTATAGCCATTACACAACTCTTTGTGCCCCAATGGGAGAGTCTGTGCAATTTAGAATGAAAAGCCTAAGCAAGAACTTTAGCCGATCACCGACTGATGTCTTAGGACATCCGGTGATCCGAAAACTTAGTCGTTCTTTAGACAGTTCTGGTATGAGTTTACCAATTAGGTAGTTCAATCTTTGTCGTCTGCATAGGTACGTAGAGCAAACAAGTAGGCTGCTCTCTGCGACGATTGCACCCGGAGGGGAGTCGCCGGACGCCATTGTCCGTGTTGGGATAGGCGAATTTATGAAACAAACAACCATCCAGCCATAGGCCTCTAATCTAGGTTGAGACCGGCTGTATAGCCACTTAGCGTTTTTGTGCCTAGTTTAGTTATCTGGCCAGTGGCCTCATGTCACTTAGACGGTTTAACAATTGGGTCGTCTGAGCATTGCCCAGACGATTTTAAAATTAAAAAAGGAAACAAAATAATTGAAAACATAAAGCGATTTCTCATTAATAGACTTCTTGTTTACAAAAATTTACAACTCAGAAGTAGTACTTTTTCAGATTGTCTACATTCCAAGTCCTAGGCAGGCGTCTGCTGTCTAGAGTTTCCAGGCGATAGGTGCCGTCTCTAACTTCCTCATAGATCCGGTAGGGGCCTTCCCAATTGGGAGTTAGCTTTCCAAGCTCATTGGCCCTACCGGTTGCTTCCATTTTTTGTAACACAAAGTCACCAACTTTCTCAGGGCGCTTGTGTACTTTCTTGTTGTAGGCTCTTGTCACTAGTGGAAAAAACCTCATCCGTAACGGGCAAAAAGGGGCAATCCGTAACGGGCAGCGTCCGTTACGTATGCGGCAGCTACGGATGGCCATTGTTATTCGTAACAGGCACTGTTCGTTACGAATAACTCATTATTCGTAACGGACAGTTCAGATGTCCGTTACGAATAACCCATTATTCGTAACTGACATTTCAGATGTCCGTTACGAATAACCCATTATTCGTAACGGACATTTTAAATGTTAGTTACGAATAAGGGGTTATCCGTAACGGACATCTGAAATGTCAGTTACGAATAAATTTTTTTTGTATTTAAATAAGTCCTTATTCGTAACGGATACCTAAAACGCCCGTTACAAATAAGTGATTATTCGTAACTGACATCTTAAGTGTCCGTTACGAATAGAGTTTTATTGTATATAATTTAACACTTATTTGTAACGGGCAACAAAAGTGCCCGTTACGAATAACTGGTTATTTGTAACTGACAATTTTGCTGCCCGTTACAAATAATTATTAAATTAAATTTTCATTTTATTTAATTTCGACAGCATGTCTTTATATATAATTAATATATATTAATTAAAACCTGTTATAATATACCTGTTCCTGTAAATAAGCAATTATACCGAACAATCTTTCGTAAAAATTAATACGACGTAATATAAAAACTGAAGTAGTAACACATTACAAATAAAAACTTGTATAAATTTATCCAACATATACAACAACACTAAAAATATTACGTTGTTCTACCTAAGCTAATAGTTATGCATTCAATAAATATTTACTTCTAAAGTATTGCGCCCATTGTTCTCGAACCACATTCAACTCGTCAACATCATACGCGGCGGTCCTTGGACAAAAATCCTATTGAAAAAAAAAACATATGAAAGAGGTTACAAAATAAAAACAATCCATAATAAAAACAAATCATTAGAATAAATGTGATGAACCAAATTATAGAAATAAAACTCATAATATAGAAACAAAACACATAACATCCTTAATTGACTTATATTTTGATTTCTATGAGTTGAAATCAATAAAAAGTTAACATTTACTCACTTTTAGGAGCATATAGAGCCAAAAAGGCTTCAAAATTGTGCTAAAGGACTTCTATCTTTCCCATCTTTCAAGTATTGGTTCAAATTAACACAATGTAACACATAAAATCCTTAATTATCTTATTTTTTGGTTTCTATGAATTGAAATCAATGAAAATTGACCACTATCTCACTCTTGGGAGCGTATAGAGCCAAAAAGGCTTCAAAATTGCCTAAGGGACTTCTACCTTTCCCCATCTTTCATGTATTGGTTTAAATTAACACAATATAATACTAAACATCCTTAATTACCTTATATTTTGGTTTTTATGAATTGAAATCAATGAAAATTGACCATTATCTCACTCTTGGGAGCTTATAGAGCCAAAAACGCTTCAAAATTGTCTAAGGGACTTCTACCTTTCCCATCTTTCAAGTATTTGTTCAAATTAACACAATATAACACATAACATCCTTAATTACCTTATATTTTGGTTTCGATGAATTGAAATCAATGAAAATTGACCATTTACTCACTTTTAGGAGCGTATAGAGCCAAAAAGGCTTAAAAATTGCCTAAGGGACTTCTACCTTTCCCATCTTTCATGTATTAGTGAATTAACACAATATAACACTAAACATCCTTAATTACCTTATATTTTGGTTTCTATGAATTGAAATCAATGAAAATTGACCATTATCTCACTCTTGGGAGCGTATAGAGCCAAAAACGCTTCAAAATTGTCTAAGGGACTTCTACCTTTCCCATATTTCAATTATTTGTTCAAATTAACACATATAACACTAAACATCCTTAATTACCTTATATTTTGGTTTTTATGAATTGAAATCAATAACAATTGACCATTATCTTACTCTTGGGAGCGTATAGAGCTAAAAAGGTTTCAAAATTTGCAAAAAAAAAACTACTAACCCTTCTAAGACACCTTTGCACTCCAAGTGAGAAGTAACAATCTCATACATGTATCTCATAATGTAGTAGCCACATTCAACGCCTCCTTATTGTTGAGCACACTAGTATATATAACAAATAGTTAAAAATTTTGTTTTCAAAGTGAACAATGTATAACAATATGGGGTGAGTAGTGTATTTACCTCCATTTGTATGAATTTCAATTTAGTGGCAATATAAAAAACATATTTTGAACCTTGCGACATATGGAGCCACGATGAATTAGCAACGTTTACCCGTCTTTCTTACTTCATGCAAAAATGTATTCTTCACATATGTATAAGTTTCAAGGTAATCATTCTCAATTGAAGATTCAGAAATGAGTTGAGGACAAAAGAATGTGATCTCAGTCCTGTTGAAAAGGTCGATGAAGTTGTCTACTAAATACCTACATGATAAAGACATAGAAAGCAAAAAATTCAGCATTATAGCATTAAAAATATTACTATAGTGAATATAAAACCAAAGTAAAGGAAGATTAAGTAACCTACATGATATAAACATGAATCAATGAAACATTAGCCCACGATCCTCTTAGAAATTCACGTACATCGGTAGCGGTTACCCATATCTGTTTGTCACTATCAAAATTAAACATCGAGGCCTTTAAAAGTACCGATGTTGTATCATACTTTGCATCATCAGAATTCATTAACCAATACAACAACTCACACCCCTCGCCAAAAGTATCGACAATTTTATCTTCAAGTGGTAGGAATTTTGTGGGTTTGATGGTAGATTGCCTTGATTTCACACCACAACTATCGTCCCCTTCTTTGCTTTGGCGAGATCTATGCTTCTTTTTGGGCGATGGTGAAACCTTTACAAATAGATGAATATTAGTCTAGATAAAGTATACAAAAATGATGGGATTTAATGTTAATAGTAGGAGAATATACCTCCTCTTCAAAAAAAACCATGTCTATAGGCCATAGTACAAAGGAAGACTTGGCTTTTCCCAACTTAGTCACACCATCGGGAGACGGTACCGGTATATCGAGGAAGGCACAGTCGGGATAAGGGTTGTCCACACTAACCCTGTAATGATCAGGTAACATCTTCAGGTTGTGCGTAACTTCACCGGTAACAGGATATACCGTTCTATCTGCCACAACCACTAAATTTTGATTGGACTCATCTTTCAATGCTAGGCGACATTTAGTGGCTACCTACATATTACAAAAAACTCGATCAATATTATACATGTTAACCATGTAAAGTCATATCTTTAGTATTAGTTAAAGACATATACCTCTATTACACGAGGGCTTTGTGTTGCCTCCATGTTCGTCATCACTTGCATTCCTTGAAATGCCTACACGTCACTGGTCATCTGTGGTAGTAAATTGGCGAGATAAGCTTTCACCTCCATTGCCACCCGTTGTTCCAACCTCTCTTCGATCCTCTCTTGAAGCTTCTCTTCAACCTTTTCTTCTAGCCTCGCCTCAAATTCTTGAGTTAGGGTAGCTTTCATTGATTCTAACTCTTCTAATGAGCATCCACCTTGGCCGGATGATTTACCCTTTTTGTATCCCTTCCCAAATACTTGTGTGTGACTAACTCCAAACCCACACCTTCCTAGTGCTTTTACATGCCCGCGGTGATCCCTTTTTCCTAAAGCCTTGTCGAGGGCATCCATACCAATAGCATCACTTGAATTGTTTCCTTCATCATTCTTTTGCAAGTTTTCCAACTATTAAAAAAAAACATATATAAGATATGGCAGAACAAGAACCTGAATTGAAAAAAAATGATATCCATAAATAGACTTGTAGTCTACAGCATATATAGCATAGAAGTGAACATAACTGATCGGAACTGATCAGAACTGAAATTTCAGAACTGATCGAAAGTGATCGGAACTGAAATTTCAGAACTGATCGGAAGTGATCAGAACTGAAATTTCAGAACTGATCGGAACTGAAATTTCAGAATTGATCAGAACTAAAATTTCAGAACTGATCGGAACTGAAATTTCAGAACTGATCGGAATTGATCGGAACTGAAATTTCAGAACTGATTGGAACTGAAATTTCAGAACTGATCGGAACTGAAATTTCAGAACTGATCGGAATTGATCGGAACTGAAATTTCAGAACTGATTGGAACTGAAATTTCAGAACTGATCGGAACTAAAATTTCAGTGATCGGAACTGATCAGAACTGAAATTTCAGAACTCATCGGAACTGAAATTTCAAAACTGATCGAAAGTGATCAGTACTGATCAGAACTGAAATTTCAGAACTGATCGGAACTGAAATTTCAGAACTGATCAGAACTGAAATTTCAGAAATGATCGGAACTGAAATTCCAGATGTGATCGGAATTGATTGAAACTGAATTTCAGAACTGATTGGAACTGAAATTTCAGAACTGATCGGAACTGAAATTTCAGAACTGATCGGAACTGATCAGAACTGAAATTTCAGAACTGATCGGAACTAAAATTTCAGAACTGATCAAAACTGATCGGAACTAAAATTTCAGAAGAGCTTATGACATGATTGCTGGACTTGATTATTTGCATTAAGAAAGATACTTACCACTACTACGACATGGTGAGCCACATTCAGATTAGGGATAGAGGGGAACATAGGGAAAACAGAGAATATAGTAGAAGTAAGTAATCAAATAAGGAGAAACAAAGGAGAAGAGTGCAAACAGGAGCCAGGACCGAAAGTAGGGGATATATAATAATCTCAATGTTCATATCTCAATGTATAACATAAAATCCAATGCATAAATTCAAACATGATTCATGAGCTAATGAATGCCTATCTGTGCTGCAAATTGGATTGCAAGTAAAGTTGCCTGGTTGGCATGCCTTTATTAGAGTGTATGGCAGAGGCCTGATGTCAATATTGATCACTTATGGCATGAAACAAAGTAACTACTCTTCCAACATCAAGTGTTATCTCTAAAACATTAGCTGGGAATATTTAAAATTAGTCTATCCTATGGAAGCATATGCACACATAATTTAAAAAGCTAAAAGTTAGTGCCCCCAGTGTTTCTCAATTGGGAGTTTCCTTCAAAATCTTCAAAATGACATACTAAGTATTAACACCATCACAAATCCACAGGTCCTTGCCTTTTTCTGTATGCATGGTTAACAACAACTAAGCAAGCAACAACTAATCAGAACTTGTAGACACCCATTTGTGTCTCCCCAAAATCAAACCCAGTGATGAGTGCCTTTCACGTCGAATCATAATCGAATGAAACGAAAGTGTGGAAAGGTTTAGTGTTGCGGAAAGTTTTATTTTCTTTTCTTTTCTTTTCTCTTCTCTCTGTTTTTGAAAACTTTATTTTAAGAAAACAGTCAATCCAGTTTGGTTGGTCCATGATATGGGTCCAATAGTGGTGTAGTTGGATGGGGCTTGCAAAGACCTTTCCAACGATATATTATTTTCCTTGAAGTTACTAACGTGTGTATTTTGTAATTAGAAAGAGGTACGAGGCATCCAAGTAAGTACTTTATTGATTAATTGATATTATGATGTAGATATCATGTTTATATTGTTATTATGATATTCCTAGTATCATGTCTAGGGTATCTTTAATATCAAGCATGATTAAAAGTATGATGCTTCCTATGTTCTTTCTAACATTTACGATTATGATTGATTGTTGGATATTTATTATGTTGCTTGATATGCATATTATTTTATATTGTTATTGCTTGATCACCTTTTATTGCAGGTTAAAGGGAATTGGTATTTGCAATCACGCTTAATAAGATAATTAACAATCTTGTTAGGGCTAATTTGATTTAAATTCAAGTGATCACCAATAATAGTTTATTTGTGCATTAAATTCAACCAACATAGATTAAACTGGTTTAGGGTTAATCCTATTAATTGTATGTTAATCAGAAAGCGCACATGAATACGAGTAGAATAAAGTAGAGGCCTATTATTAGGGCAGGTTCAATCTCTTTTAGGTTGGATTTGTACCTTCATCCCCGGACCCTTATTTGGTTCATGACCTTGTGAAGTTGGCGATCTCTTGGATCGTTAAGGGGTGTAACCTTCACCTCGTGAACGGTTTACAAGTTCCTTAAAAACTTGTTGGCGACTCTTTTGCTCTATCTTCTTCCCTTTTGGACGCCACCGTACTTTAGTGTATGATCACAGTGGGGTTCGATCTAGTGGGATTTTTAAGGCTTGAAATTATTCCCTACAGTTTTTGGCGACTCCACTGGGGAGGATTTCTATTTTAATTCCTAAATTTGTTTCGGCAATGATTTAGAATGAGTGGATGAGACTCGAAAAGTTCTAAGTATTTCATGTGCGTAATTTTGATTAACATTATTGTCATATGCATAAAAAGGTTCTCATTAGAAAGACCATCCGTAATGAGTCAAAAACATAGGATTTTACATGTAGGAAATTTGAGAAATGTCTTTCACAACTAGGACTGAAATAACACCGCGCGAAACTGGATGATTTTATTGAGCACAGAAAGCTGCTGAGGCATGTGGGAAGTAGCGTCGGGGGCCAGAGCTTGGCGCCACACTTTTTGCCGTAGCGCCAGACGCCAGTATTGGCGCCAGGCGCTACAGTTAACAGTTGGCGCCAGTCTCTGTTTGCTGGCGCCAGTTTCCCCCAATACCGAGCCAGAAATATGCGTTCTAATTTCGACCGGTTTTTCGTATTGTTTGCTCGATCCTACTTCCTGATTGAATTTTTTCTCATTTTTCTGAAACCCATATGTGTTCTACATATGGACATAACCCTCTGGGAATTCATGCTCTATCTACCCGATTGAACGCTCCTGGCAACAAAGGGTACATCTGAGATGTTGAATTCACCAAACCATGGAAGTGAGTTTTTTTTTTTTTCTAAAAAACTCGCGGTGTTCTATCCACACGCGTTAACCCTTCACGGTTAGGCTTCTACGCGGTGCATCTGAACAATTAACCATGGACCCTATTTGACAAAACCATATCCCGAACTTTAGAGAACTAGCGCCATGGTTAGGTTGCGAACTCATTGCATCATATTGTGCCTACTTGACTAATTGTGCATTATTTGTTGTGCACATATATTCTATGTTCCTCTTAACCGTTTGTTGATTTGTGTTGAGATTATAATTAATGACTTAAAGAACTTTGCCTAATTAATTAATTAATTAATTTGAGTCAATAAAGTTTTTTCTTCTTTTAATCGGAATTGACCTAGTACGACTTTAGGCATACCCCAACTGATTAATAATACCGAAAACAGTCCCAGACCAAAGCTCCAATGTTGGTGCCAAAGTCTGAGCTGTAGCGCCACTGTATGGTGTGTAGCGCTAGATATTTACTAAAAAGTCTGGCGCCAATCACCATATTGTGACGCCAGTCCTGTCGCTTGGCCGACAGTTCGGATTATTTGTCGAGTCATCACCTAGGGTCTAATTAACCAGTTTGCTAATTAATTCGGTTAATTTTTGCTGTCAATAACACTTTGTCAAGTCATTAATCGAGTCTTGGTCACATAGTCTAGCCACATGGTCATGACACGAGTCTCAACATGTCACCTACACTCACTAGTCTTAGCACACACTTTGAGTACACATCACCATGGCCATGTCTTAGGTTCATGCATAAGTCGGTCTTTTTCCGTCATTTGAGTTGGGGTACATTCTACTCCTAATTCTTCATATCCCTCCATCTAAATCTTTCTTCACATTCTTCCATCTTTCTTCACCTCCTCCATCCATTGCATGTTGAATAAAGTTTGAGTCAAATAATTAACAATAAGTATCCCCAAATTCCTTTTCTACAGTACTTGGTCGAGGAGAGAAGGGCGATTAATCAAGGACAACCTCTTTATTCAAGTCTCGCTTTTTGATAAACTGATTCGTCAAAAGAGGAAGGCTAAGAAGATAATGGCAACTTAAGAAGAAGTCAATGAGCTTAGGAACCAATTGGTTACCATGACTGAAACACTGAAGCTCCTCACACTTAAGGTTGATGATCCCGTGAAGCAACAACAGATGGACCTCATGCAAGAGAGTCTGAGCAAGTTATCTAGTGACTATAAATTTCAGGGCATGAGTTCGCAAGGGGTCTCGCTGGACAAAGAACTTCTTCCGCATAAGTTCAACGCCACTGACGTCCCTAAATTCAAGGCAACAGATAACCCTTACTTCCATCTAAGAGCTTTTGAAACTATAATGACCATTAAGGGTATCGATAAGAAGGTTTTCCCCACTCTGTTCTCACTATCTCTTAAAAGCGTTTGCCAACAATGGTTTTTCTCCCTTGACAAGGAGAAAACCTCTACTTGGGAATCAATAGCAAACGCTTTCGTTGATAGGTACAAGTGCAATATCCAAGTTGAAACCGATCATAGACAACTTGAGATACTAAGACAAAAAGAAAATGAAGGCTTTACTTCTTTCTTTAATAAGTGGAGGGAAACTTCCGCCAAGATGATTGAGGTCCCCACCGAAAAAGAATCTGTGAGGATGTTTATTAAGAATCTCCAAGAAAAGTATTCGAAGCACCTAAAATATCAACATAATTTGAATACTTTCAAGGCCGTTTATGACATCGGAATTGAAATCAAAGATGACCTTGCAAAGCAAAAAGCTACTAACAATAGTAACCACGGTGGCTGGAAAGGAAAGAAGAACGACAATCCTTCTTCTTCCGAAAACGCCCACTCTAGTAACAATGTTAGTACCTTTGATCTCAGTGAAGT